TAGAAGGGTGACACTTAGCTCAAAGGTCTTTTGTTGTTCACAAGGAGATGCCGAATGCTGAATTTGCCGAGATATTGATAAGTTAATGCTGGTCTTGGTCGAGTCGGCGCCAATAGTCCAAGGTCGCCGGATTTGTTGTTGTTGTCGTGGTCGTTGTCGAGCGGGCTCTCATCGGATGGGTATCTCATGCTCATCAGCATTCGTCGCTGGAACGCCACAATTTATTCTCAATACTAAGACTCCATCCTCCATCGCCGCATCGATGTCTTCGGGCTGGGCGAAAGGAAGGAACGAGTCGTTGGCATTCGATTAAAACGGGGGGAGAAGCGAGGGAGCGGGGACGGATAAGAAATAAGGGCAAGACAAACGAACAGACGTACTCGGGTATCTTCGGGGACGGGAAAGTTTCGCGTGAAGCGCCCGTACTTGCGTTCGCGGAGCGCGCTGGCGGATGGCGGGAAGAACGCGCGCGAGTAGCCCTGGATGGTGACCTGCCGCTGGCGGTTGAAGAGCGTTCGTGCTGAGGCTGATGCGGAGGTCCTGTTTCTTCACACCGGGAAGTTCGAGGAGCGCGGTGAGGATTTGTGTGCCGGGGTCGTAGTACGTGTCGGCGCGTATGATGTATCGTCGTTCGTCTGCTGCTGGCGGTAGCACCGTCGCGCCTTCCATGAAGGGAGGAGAAGGGCCCTGCGGGACAAATTCACTGCAACCTATTGAGAGCAAGACGTGCTTGAGCATATCACAGACCTGAGGCGCGAATTCGTGAACGTTGGTCTCGCCGATACGGGCGACACCGGATGAGAAGTCGACGACGACTGACTTGGAAACCGGACATGATGATGGGCTTCTGCCTCCCTTCGAGCAGCACTCGAAGGATAAGGATGGTAGCTATGTCTCGCGCGTGAAGCAGGTCGCGCAGTTGGCCGGGCAGTAGTGTCGAGCATCACAGGTGTAATCTCCACTGGAGGAGATCGCCCAGGAGGTAACAGTCGAACGGGAGCCATATCATGGGTTCCCCGCCGTTGGACTACTGGCTGCTGAGGAGTCTGGTGTGTTGGTGGTGCTGGAGGCGGCTGGTGTAGTTGAGTCGGGGTGACGATGACTTGCTGGTCGAAGTCGACGGGTTGCTGGTGCTGATCCCACTGGAGGGTCTCGCGAGGTGTGTGTGGTGCAGAACGCTGTGCATATTCATCTGTCCGGGTATTGGCCAAGGTACGACATGGTCAAGAGCAAGCCGCGTACGGGGATCAAAAGTCCTTAAATAGGCATGAGTCACATGTCACGCGGGACAATGCGCGCATCAAAACACGAGGCGCACACACATGCCGAGCCAGAAATTTGGGTTCGCTATTATACAGTTCTAGGAAACTATAGTATACAACTGGAGAACGAAGCCAGACTATTCAGGGAGATCCATGTCGTCCATGGTAGGGGAATCCGGAGCCTCGGTTGTGGCGGGCAGTGTGAGCTCAGGATGACTCCTTGGGACAAGCTGACCCGTCTCGGCGACCCTGCCGCCGCGCTCCACACTCCCGCGCCGACTGTGACTCGAACCCCGCAGACTGCCCCGACTCGACGACACGGGCACCCCGACGGATAGAGTTGCGGCGACTCTGCGGTTCGACGGGAGAGAGCGAATGGTCACGCTCGCGATGGGGCATGTGGTAGGACACGGTAGGTGACCCAAACGAGGACGATAACGACGGCGGAGGAACAGATGGGTAAGACAGGCCGCGCGAGGGAGTGGCGAATGTGACTCCGTTGGGATTGTACGACGTCGGCGGGGAAGTGAGGTTGCTGTTAATGCTGATGTAGCTCGTCGGATGTGGCGAAGTGACGGGTGAGAAAGGGAACGGAGAGTCGGACGACGACGACGGGGAATGCGAGAGCGGGGTATTGCCCTCAGAGACATTGTTGTTGTGGACGCGCGCGCGCATCTGGGTCTGTGTCGCTGGTCGTGGTATCGGCACCCCATTCGTCGGTGGAGCAGGCGGTCGCACACCGTTCGGTCGGCCAGAGGGAAAGTGCAGCACCGAGTTGGTCGGAGATGAAGCGGTAGACGAGAACGCCGATTGCGGGCGCTGATGCAGATGCGTTGGTTGGGAATAGGGATCCGTCGAAGACAATCCAATGAGGTGGTCCAGCGGAGTCCTAGCCGATTCCGATGCTCCAGCAGCTCTTCGCGATACACTTCATTGAGTCGCGAGAGTCGAACAAAGTCCCGCTCTGTATCGGCCAGCCTCGACCGCAACTGACTCGTTCTCTCTCTGCAGTGTTTCCAGCATAATGCTGAGCGACGGATCCGCAGGAGAGAGTCCAGACTGCGGCGACGTGCTCATCTGCGCCAACCGTAGGGTCCGCCAGCTCCCTCGACAATCGGTTCACATGCGATTCGGATTCCGCCTCGAGCACATTTTCCAGCTCGATCTTCTCCTCCTTGAGCTGTGGGCAACTGCAAGTGTCAGTCATGGGTTTGCGTTCAGGAGCCTGGCACGACGAACCTGTTCAAGCTTTTTCGAGAGAACGTTTATTATGCGCTCCTCCTCCGCCTCGTATGCGTTGATAAGTTCCTCTTGCTTGGCCGCTGAACTGAGCGACAGGCGTCGGATGGGTGGAGATATCGACATACAGCACTGGCTGCGGCCAGAGGGGCCGAGGTGAGTGTGTGAGGTAAAGAGATGAAGAGCGCTTGTGGGTGTCTGGTCCGTTGATGACTCTGAATCGCATCAAAATTCCTGCACATGGCAGATTGCCAGAGTCAAAACGTGCCTGGCTATTGCATGGACAAGAAAACGGCCCTGATTAATCTCAACAACACGCCTCAACGATCCTGGTAATGACACGCTCTCAAGTAAAACAGCGTGCCATGGTCTTGTCTTCCTCCGCGGCGTCCACCGCCATTCCACTCATCTCCGCTCCAGCGCCACACCGTCAGAGCCTTCCATGCGTTCCCATTTGGCCTCGCAGATCTCTCCACCCGTCCGTCGATATCAAGCAAGCCGGTCTCGAGTTGCGTCGGGCTGGCTATTGTCATCGTGCGTGTAGCACCTGGGGGCTCAGCGGAACCGGGTTGGACAAGCGACGGCGGTAGGTCCCGCGTCACCCCTGGCTCGACAAGGATAGTTATGCTGCCTGTCCGCGAGTCGACCCGTTGGATCTTAAAGGACCAGTGAGTGCCTGTCGCTGGCAATAGAGGTTACATACGATGACATCCTTCTCGACAACGAGACCAAGAGCGGTAAATTTCCGTTTATATGCCAGGACGTCCCCTTCGCAGATAACAGAGTTCTTGACCAGATCGACCAGTTTAATGTCAGCAGCATCGCTGTATGCGGATTAAGAAGAAAAAAACAATCTTCATCAAGGCACCCACCCAGCACGTATCTCAGAAAAAGGCACCGACGCTGGAGTCTCCGCGCCGTTGTCCCGTTCCCAAACCTTCGTCCTTCCACGGTGCCGCAAGGGTCCCTGCTGTCGTTCCTTCCACATACTTTTGCAGCTTCTCCGTATGGGCGTCCGAGAACCAGTTGGAGAAGAGGTGGTCCTGGAACGTGCGCGCGGCCGCGAGGAAGTGCGGGTCGGTGAATACGGAGGGGATCAAGGTCCTCAATAGCAGCAGATGTCATTTGGGAGTCTTCGGTAGAATCAGCAGCAGGGTGGTCAGATTCGAGTGCAGATTGGAACGACCGAAAAGCAGTGGCGGGGAGGAGAGCAGCAAGACGCGTCTGCGCCTCGAGTGAAAGCATATTCCACACATTCGCGTTAATAACGTCCTTTCCTCAAACAGTCAAGAATGCCGCATTATTCCTGCGGGGGACCGACGCACAGAAACTTCCATCTTGGTCAAAGGACTTTTTGAATTTTGCAGCAGATGCACGAGTCGTTCTGCGGAGCCGGAGCCGGAGCTGCCGGCGTCTTCTTTCGCCTTGCGTTTGGTCGGGGCGTGTTCGACAACAGGCGGCGTAGTTTCCCGTTGGATGGGCTTCGGTTTTCGTGCGGATCGTCGAAGGGACATGACGGTTGAAAGCAAGCTGTGAATGAACACGTGAACGGTTCGATTTCTGATGAGGGCGTTTTAGGCGTCTTATTTCGCAAGAGAAGGCTATAGATTTTAAACCAGACATATTGGTGTGGTGGTCCTAGATTATGAAATAAAAATTTAACCCTCAAAGGATTTGTGGTACTCGTCCAGCTACGTACTCCGACACCGACCGTCTCAACAGAAGCAGATGAATGGGGGGAACTGTGTTCTAATATCTTTCATAGACTGCCGAGCCTCGAATACACCCTCTGCAAAACCGAAACTGTGGCGAAATGAGCGAATGGCGCCGTTGAAAGTACACATGGTCTTCAAAGTCGATTGCCGCTCAACCACAGCTCCCTATTGCATGAAATTTTGCACAGAGCCGCGTCACGTATATGGTTCACCCCCAATGGCACGTAAGGTCGAAATTCCTCTTGCGCAAGGAGTATTTTGGTGATGGTCAACTATCGCGTATGGTCACTGATACTAGTCTTATAGTACCAACTTTAAGGGAAAAAAATTGCGATAGGTAGATATCACGTAGGACCGTGTTCTATCCGATTCTCAGAGACATACTTGCAGCATTTGTCCATGGAGAAAATAGATACCGTGTTCTGTTCAAGTTGAGAACACACTGGTACGACGCGTTCTGAGGCTGTCCCCCTTGAGAACGGCTGGCATGTGTCATTTAACCGAGTTGTAGGTACAGGTGGGTTCAAACTCAAGATGCAGGCAAAGAAAATTTATGAGAGGACTGCGAGTTTTAAACTTGTAATCAATGATTGATGATCACAACTTCGCGAGTCCGTAGCACCTCGCCAGATCCAGCCAGCGACTTGATTTTTTGTATGGAGGTTGCCATTCAATGTGACTACTCAGAAATGAGATATCTAAGCATTCCTTGCTTGCTGGTTCGTTAAAAATCGCGCCTTTGCTCGGAAAGAGCTAAATTCAACGACGAGGAATCGTTCTAAAAGGTCTTATGGCGTAGTGGTTATCGCGTTTGCCTTACATCTCCGATAGAAATCGGGAATCGATGTCGCAAAAGGTCGCCAGTTCGACCCTGGCTGGGATCAGTTTTGAACTAGCTTTCGAGCGGACGGTTTGAAACAGTTTCCCACCTTTTTCCTTTGTTTCCTGATCTGAACGTCCACCCACCGACTACCAGAGTGGATTCAATGGTACAGAAGGTCGCTAGCTCGAGTCTTTCGACTTTGGCTGCGCACAATTGTGGGCTTGGAAGAAGTCGGAAGACTTGCACGTGATCGTGTTTCTGATTTTGATCGTATCTTAGCGCTAGCCCTCTACCTCCATGCCAAAGCTACTTTCCTCCTCCGCCCGGCTTTTTCCCTAACGGTGTTGATACGCATCCACGTCCACTCTGAAACAAGCCCGACTCGTCAATTGCCTTGTGCTGCCTGCCTACGTCGCTATGCTTGGAATCCGGCGATACATAGGTAGCCCTAGCGCGTTCAAGTGTAGCGGATGGAATTGTGTCGACAGAACCCGCGAGTTCCCGCCTCCACAGCCTCTGTCGACTCAAAACTGCCGGTTCAACAAGCTTTTGGAGACTTGACCTTGACAACAAGGTGTATTGTATCCTTGCCCTGGCCCCTCATTCAGCGACAACACATTGGAGATGCGCTCGTAATCTTCCTCAGACCACGAATCCTTCGCCAGACCTACAAACGCCTTCGCCAGACCCACAAACCTCGACGAACACGACGTGATAAAAATCCCTGCGCAACATATCACGGAAAAGGTATTGATGCATGCTTGCCTTTAGGAACACAAGTCTTGGCCTTCGTGATAACGATCGGCTTTCGACTGCGTATAAAACCACTCGATCCTGGCAATTCCACAGAATCCATATACGCCCGGTTGCATTTCTTCTACCTTCCTCGACCGCTCTCTTTTTTTACTCCAACTCTTCGCGAAATGAAGTTTATTTTCTCTTCCTTCATCGTCACCCTTGCGCTTGCTGCCTCGTCTTTGGCTGTGGGTCCGACTGCTTGCTCGATCACCGGAGACGGCTCTCGGTGCCGGAGATCACCCAGTCTCTCTGCGGATATCATTGGCCAATTCGCGATTAACAAGGTGATTGAAGTTCAAGTTCACTCCGCAATTGCTGAGCTGGGTTGCAGAAACCTACATTCAAGTGCTTCGATCTCGGAGACAGTGTCGATGGAATCATGTGTGTATTCATACCGTTCCCCAGTAATACCCTGGACTCACCTTCTTTCCAGTGTTTGGGACAAGACGGAAATCAACGGTGTCGCGTGCTTCGTATCGGACACTCTCGTTGGTCTCCCGTGCCCGAGTACGTTGCCTACCTTGCCCTTTATCGAATATAGTCTAACATTTCCTCAGCCGCTCTTCCCCAGTGCTGAATCCTGAATGCCTTTCGCTCATGATCTATTCAAGGAATAACTCACAGTCGTCCAAGCGTTTTGTTTGCCAACTTAATATCATCCTCTTGCATGTCACTGCAAGAAATATTCGTGTGGTGCTTTCCTCGACGGCCACCAGTCAGATTCCACCGACGCTTCTTGGCATGAGCAATTTCGACTATTGGTCTCTCGGAATTTGACCAGTCCAAGATAATTCATCATCTTCGTGGGCACGACGACCACCGGCGCCGGTGCGGGAGGCGATCGTAGCTCAACGCGTAAGACACGACGGCCAGGTCATTGCGCGGGCAGCGCGTGTGCGCTTCTGCAGCTGAGCGTCGAGGTCGATTTGGACAGGCATCTTCGTCGCCCATTTCCTAACCCTCCGGTCTTTCTCCAGCCCGTCTCCTCTTGAGTACATATCTTGGATGACTTTCTTACCGCTTCACTCTGTCTGCGAACAGATCTGGTTGTGTTACGCTGGTTTAAATGAACTCAGGCCTGCTAAGCCTTGCTTGTGTTGTTCAAGAAGTTTGGCGGCCAGCTGGGACTTGCTCTTGAAATGGAAATAATGGTGAAAGTAGTCTTCTCCGAAAAATGTCTTCGGAGCCAGACTTGAGTCGTATTTACGGCGCTTGCCCATTTTCGAAAGGAATTCGAATTGTGCGAGGCAGTGTGACGTTGGTCACGGTCGCGCCTCCAACGTGTTCTCAAATCGCCGCGATGTCTGCCGGCGTCTCACTCGTCGCCTTCATGGCGACCGCCATCGGCGTCGCTGTCCCATGGTTCTACCTTAGCATCCACCGAGCCTCAGGCCGACCATTGACCTCGACGCGGTCTCTTCTCAACACTTTCCTCCTCCTTCACACCCTCTACATCCTCTACCAGATCATCGTACTGCCCCCAGACAACCTATATAGGCGACTCAAGATCCCACTCTCCACCCCACCGGATTCAATCCGCAGCATCCTCATACAAAAATCGGACACTGGCGACCTGCCACGACCGCTCGACACCCTTCTCAAACATCTCGAGTCGTACGACGTGAAGACGTACTACGTTCGGTGCGCAGAATACAGCTTGATGTATCGCTGTAAACTCTTTGTAGATTCGGGCACCAGGTCGTCTCGACATGCGACTATTGCCACTCATTCAATGACTTTGGAATATTCGCGCTCCCTGGCGCTTTACTCTCTTACATCTGGGCGGCTATCGTAGTTGGCGTAGGCCCGCTTACTTATTTCATGGCTATCTTCTGACTTCTGACTAGCTCGTAACGAGTAACAACACTGGGCATGAACGCTACCGCACTCTAGCAGTCGCCGCCATCGCTGGGTCATTCTTCGTCGAGGCATACTACGTCGCAACAACCGCAATAGAGGTTCCCAAGGATGACAAAGAAGTGTTTTGGGTACGTGGCAACTCGGTTTGCGCACAACTCGGGCTCACTAGACCCTGAAAAAGTGGCACGACAGCTTCCTCCTACTTCGCCAACTCATCTTCCTCGTCGTTCCCATCCTTGTCCACCTCCTTCCCGCGAAACCCATCTCCCCACTGACCAACCCTACAATCGGCGCGACGCGCCTCGCGGAACAGACCCTCTTGCGTCTACAATTACTCCGGCTCACCCGAGGTGCTATTATGCGTGTTCCTGTGCTCCGTACGCGCGCTGCCGAGTGGTGGGAAGGCGACGCACGCGATGGTCAGTGGGTACGCGAGGACAAGGCTGTACAAGACCTTGCCCGCCAGCTCGGCTCTGGGTTTGATGAGGATGAAGGCGGAAGCGATGCTGAAGACACCGTAGCACGCCCGTTGCGGACTAACGCTCGCAAAGCAGTCACTACACTTAGAGCCGGCTTCAGACCGAGTGAGTACTGGAAGCTTCCGCCTTCCTAGCCCCGGTTTTTAGTTGCTTGTATTTATCTTACCTCATCTTCTTGTATCTCGCCCCGCAAAAGAGCACTAAAATGACCATAAAATCAAGCGAGTATTACCTAGAATATGCGAACAACGGCAGTCTTCACTATTTACATGGTATTTTCTCGACCCACAGAAGGAAGAAGGCGAAAAAATAAAATAAGAGACGGAAGTGTTTTAGTGAGAGCTAGTAGTCATATCCCTCGACTTTGAAGGTCGCCCCATACTGCAGGTAGCTACCCATGATTTTCATAATGGGCTCGGGGAGACCCATGCTGAGGAGTGTGTTCGAGATCTTGGTATGCCCGTGGACCGTGCCGAGCTTGAAGAAACAGCGGGCGATTTGTGTTGGGTACTATTAGAACTGATGCTTAGATTGTGAAGACGCGACAGAAGAGACCCTAAACGCACCGTCATCTCAGTATACTCTGCATACTGATAGGCCGCGACCCGGATAGCAGTTTGAATACAGCGCTGGATGTCGCCCTCCTCTGCATACATCTCCATGAGCTTGCTCCACGGCTTGACAGAGTACCGCGGCGTGTCGAGACAACGCTGATACGCCTCCTTTGCTTCCTCTTTGTGATGCAGCCGCATTCCGAGATCGCCAAGAACCTCCCACTCGAGCCCCGTCTTGCGGTATGCGACGTGCTGCGTCTTGAAATGAGCGACCTCGGCGCGGAAGATGGTCCACACGCGCAGGTCCTGTTTCGTTATTTTAGCAAAGAAAAAGAAATGGCGAAGAGAATGAAATCACCTCATAGAGAACCATGAAGAGATTATCAAGCCATCGCTCACATAACCGCTTGTTGCTGAACGAAAAGGGCTCTTGGGCAGCAGGAGTCGGCGGCTCCTTCTTATCCTCCTCCTCACTAGCTGCAGCTTGTACTGGTCGCTCCAGGGAGTCTGCCGCATGAGCGATCGTCTCGCTATCGGTTTCACTTCCCTCCTCCTCCGCCTTCATATCGGCCTCCGTCGAGATAGTGATAGTCGGGATCCCGTTCTCGACGCTCCCATTCCCATTGATTTCCGGCACATTCGGGCTGGTCGGAGTCGTCGCCACACTCCCGCCGGGACTCACGATCCCTCGCGTCGACGCATTATCAGGCTCCTCTCCATGCTCCGCAAGCGTCGACCCCTCCGCCGAGTCGGATTGTGACCGCATATGGTTCACAATCTCCGTTTGCGCTTTTTGCATACGGTACTCCTCCTCCATCACGAAAACGGCACTCCGCGTCTTGAGCAGCTCGTCCCAACCAATTTGCGAGACGAGCCGCGTGAGCAACGAGTACGCGCGCGCCCAAGTTCCCCGCAGGCCTGGCGCAGGAAGACGTTGCAGCGCCGGGTCCGCCTCGTCGTCGTCCGTCTTGACGCGATCGGGTAAAATCTCCCCGATTGAACGGTGGAAGGGAAGATGGATTCGTGCCGGTGTAAGCGGTCGGTGAGCGTCGCGTCCGTTGAAGGTGAACATCGGGCAGGAGTTGAGTGTGAGCAGGGCCGAATCGTACATGCCCAACTCGATGTAAACTTCTGTGAGCTTTTCCCAGGTGACAAACTCGCTGGGAGCAGCGTTGACCGCCTGTCGGGCGAGCTTGAGTGCCCAGTCCGAACGCCCTTTTTCGCGGAGGAATTCGCATTCCGTGTGCAAGAGTGTGTATGATGCAGGGCCGGGCGCGTTGCGGAGAGCAGTAGACATTATATTTAGCGCTTTGACCTCCTCGTCTGTACACTGTCAGCACTTTATCAACGGGACAAAACAGAGACGCACT